GATTTCCCCCCCCCGCCACCTTTCCGGAGTGAATCCGGGGTGGGCGAGGGACCCTCCCCCCTGCGTCATCCGCACGGGTACCGACCTCCCCGCTTTCTGCTGCTCAACCTCTACTGCGGCCGGCCTGTCTTTGGCGCGCGGCGTCTCTGCTCTGTGTTCTAATCTCCGCTCTCCACAGCCTCCTGAATGCCTCCCCGCCAAATCTGGCGGCCAGGGGACTTTTATATCGTGATGTCTGCTGTTTTCTGTACACAACCGGCCTCTATTTACTCCCAAATAAAAGAAATACATGTCTGTTGCTAATACAAACACCCCAAGCGGGTCCGGCTCCTTCGAGCTTTGAAGAGAGGGAAGAAGATGAGGACAGGCGTCTCTCTCACTCGCCCTCGCTCTCTTCCTCCTCCTCCTCCTCTCTCTCTCTCCCTCTCCTCCTCTTGCCTGGCAAACAAAGGCCGAGATTTGTCAGAGCCCAATTCCAGCAATAAACAGAAGTGGCCCTGGAGTGCCTGCAGATTAAGAAATGGCAGCAACCGCCTCTGAATTGAGACCAAACAGCCTGGCTGCGCCGGTTCCCGAGAGGTTGTTCTGAGCGGCTTTCAAGAAAGGGACCAGGCTCCCAAGGGGTGGCTTCCCAAAGTGGCCGCCCTCCTCAAAAAGAAGACCCCCATTTATGACCTCACCTGGAGCCAAAGCTCAAAACAGGGCGCGTATTTTGAACGCAAAGCGGGGGGCGGGGGCGGTCAGTCCCACGGATCTCTGGAGGAAAGGCTCTGTCCCCAGGCCCCGGGTGAGGGAGGGCTGGCCTGGGCGGCCCACTGTTGATCCGGCTCCCGTGCAGTCACCCTTCCTAAGGTGCCAGGCTTAGTCCAACTTCAGTGTTACAACGGAAGGCCCTCCAGGTTTCCCCAGAAGTCAGTCCCACTAAGTCGTGTTTCCAGGGGCAGCAGGATGGCGCACAGCAGGTGTCCCCCCCCTCCCAGGCTGTTAAAGCATTTCTTGCTCAGTCGACGACAAGGACCCCTTCTGGGGGATTGGGAGGGCTGGCCTAACTCAGAGGTGATTCGCTCGGTCTCGGGCGGGGGTGTGTGTCGTCGGGTGCCCTTTGCGCGCAGGGAGGCTGAAGTCCAGGCCCTGAATGCAGGCTCTCAGGTCGCTGCAGCTCGGCCGCTGGAAGAAGCAGAGCACTGGGGAGCTCGCAGCGCTTCAGAGGCATGGCTCGCAAGCCAGGAGAGGCGGGGGTGTTAAAGGAAAGGAGAGTCTCCCCCCGCCCTCCGCTCTCTGGGCTCACTCACTGGACCGAGCACCTGGCCTGGGAGCCCGGGAGAGGGAGAGGAGAGAACCGGGAAAGATTTCGCAGCAGGGACGCTGTTGTCCTTCTGACTCCCTTCTCAGGCTCTGGGGGTGCCTTCCCCTTTCCCCACCGGGCGCCATGGCCTGTCCAAACCCAGCAAGCTCCGTGGAGCCCCAGGAGGCCTGGAAGGCCATGCCTTCCAAGGAGCGACGTGCCCCTGGATCGCGAGGAATACATTCAAAATCACGCCAGCCAGACCCTCTTTAATAATCACGCCAGACCCTAGTCTCGGTGGGTCCGCTGGAACTCGAGGCTAGGCCCGGGGCTGTTTTCTCCTTGCAGCCTTAGTCTGGGATGCTTCCAGGGGCGGGGAAAATGTAGCCAACAGCAGCAGGTGTAACATATAAAAGCCAGCTCGAGAAATAAGAGGGGGACAAGCTGTGCTCGCCTCCAACTGGTCCTTTCTCGATTGAGTAAAGACCGGGTGAGCCAGGAACCGTTTTCAAGGCACTAACCACAAATAGAGAAGTTATTTTCTCGGCGTTTGATAACATTGCAGCCCGGAGCTGGCCGATGGAAGGGGGTATTTGCTATTGCAACAGGCTTTTTTTAATGGATTGCTGGTGGCTGGGCCCCAAGTTAGTATTGCAAACAGCAAAAAGGCATCAGCGTGTTTGTAGGTGACACAAGGAAGACCGGATTTTGACTCCGAATCTCTGTTTATTTTCCATCTCTCACTCAGGCCAAAAGGTTTCAATCCCAAACGAAAGGAAAATAAATGGCGATCTGTTCTCTATAGTCGGTTTTTTTTAATGGTGAAAACTTGCCTCAACTGTATATACACATACCAAGAAAAAAAGGTGATCCATGCCAGTTTTCTATAAACGGAAAACAAGATTATCTCTCGGAGCCGGCCAAAAAGCTCCTCTCGAGAACACACGCCCTGTACCAATTGAGCTGAAAAGATGAAACAAAACACAATCGCCAGGAAAGCAAAACAGAAAAGGGGGAAACTCTCCGGGTCAGTTTTCTCTGGAGGGGAGGAACAGAAACCTGAGCAGGACTTTCCAGTTGCTCGAAACCCGGCGAGCAAATGCCTGGAAAAGACTAAAGTTGTCAGCCCCCCCCCCTCCCCCAGATG